AATTAAACAACAGTAAAAAAATAATAATGTTAGCTGAGTCAGAACGACTACAGGCAAAAGCTAACCTTGAATAAAAACCTAAAGTTGAAGTAATCAAAGTTTTTATAGCTTTAAACATATTTTATTTTGAAAAGTATATTGTAAGTTCTGCATCATATAGACAGAGACATTTGTGTTTAGTTTTTATACATGTGTTTACATTCCCATAACAGCATTCTCAAAAAATCCATCAGATATACATATTAGTCAGGGGGATTTGTCCTTTTTCTTGATTTGTTCATCAGATTAAAAATGAAGCTTGTTGCTGCAGGCTTTGACAAAGCTCAGGGCCGAACTCATCAATAAATCTGATTAGGTTAACAAGCTTGTTTTTGCTTTGTTCACTGACAAGTCAGAGAAGAACTCATACATTTTTGATTGGAGGAAGAACACACAGCTGTTGTCTTTGGGGTCTCCGACAATGAGCTTATTTACCAGAGTTTGTATCTGTGATGAGATAATTGGGTATTCCCCCTCTTATTTTGACACGCACAGCAATAAATCAGTTCGTCAGCTCTGGTAATTACAAAGAAGTTAATAAGGTGAGTGTTAAAAAAACAAACATTTTATGTGTTTTTGTGAACCGATAGACAAAATTCTACCTATTGTAAAACCAACAAGTGTTCTGGGGACACAAATATTCTGATTTTGAGGGAGAAACTACAAATTAAAGGCCTAACAGTCCTGTCTTTCATGTCAGAGATTTCAAATAAAATCAAGGCATGGAGTTCTAACTGTTCTGGTCTAGTCTTGTAAATGGTGTTCAGTGCAGTCCGGTGCTCAAAATATGTGATGAGGATGATGCTCAGCTACGTCGACATCAAACTCTAGCTCCGTATCTGTACAGCTGACTGAGTTGTAAACATTTTAATGTTTGACAGGGTCACTTAAGGCATCTTGAACAGGTTAACTCTAAAAGTTAATCAGCTTTAGAGGCACATCCAGTGTTTCGTTTTTGAAGATTTTGTTTTAATCTGTCAGAGGATTATTTTGCTAACAGACAAACACAATTGACTCCACTAGTTTTGATAAACATGTAAAGTTTAGTCATGAATAATAGATGGTAATATTAAAAATATATTTTCTTATGGTATTAATAACTTCATCCATTCATCCATCCATCCATTTTCTGTATATGCTTCTTCCTTTGTGTTTGTTAAAATCAGGGATCATTCTTGCAGTGGGACTTTAGCTCATATTTCTTCTGCTGGAGTCCTTCAGTAAGCCTGTAAAACCTCAGCCTTATATGTGGAAGGGTTCGGTACACACGTGTGGTCCCATCAGGCGTGTTTATTCTTAGAATGTGCATCACTTCCATAATGCATCTTCATGTTAGTACCTAACAGCGCTGCTCAGATGTACTCAAAGGTACCGATGATCTATTCATGATTCAGAGTTTTTAAAAGGAAAYGCTGAAATGTAACCAGGTCAGAGGCTTTTATTCTCAGGAGGGAGCATGTCTTTGTAATCTTGTTTACATATTTAAGAGATTTGTCTTTAATATGGTGTTTGCTCTGATGCTTTCACAGAAAAAAGAAGAACAAGGTGTTTACTATTGCTTTTTGTCTTTAGATGATTTTACTGCATCCCAGCAGATGGACTTTTTAATTTACAGCTTATCTGATAGCAAAGATTTGTGGAGATTAGTAATTTATTTGTTGAAATTAGTGTGGAATATTCTAATTAAGCTAATGAAAAACATATAAAGGAAAAAATGGAAAAATGTTTTCTTAATCAAAAACTTGATGATCTCAGTTTTTGTTTTCCGCCGCATTTCTCAAAATTAATGTTGATTCTAACAAAAGAAAAATACAATAGTTTAAGTTATGAAAATTTTTGTTTCTTAAATAAACATATACAAAGCAGATGCTAAGACTGAAAAACATAATCATTTAATATCTGATACCAGTAACGCACTTTAATAAGACAAATGTGATTGCTAAGTGACTTGAAACTTGCCAAAGATGCTGAAACCTCTTACAAAGCTAAAAGAAACAAAACACTAGCTAAAAGCTAAAAAAGCAGAACACTGGAAAAAAGCAGAAGCAGAAAAATGCTAGCCAAAAGTGACAAAATGCCTGCTAAAAGTTATGAATAGCAACATGCTAGCTAGAAGCTAAATGTAGCAGGATGGTAGCTAAAAACTAAAAGCAACAAAATGATAGCCATAAGCTATATATAGCACAAGAAGCTAAAAATTAAAAGTAGCTAAATGCTAGCCATATACTACTTTCCTGAAACATTCCAGCACTTTCAGGACCTTGGACAGCTCCTTCAGTCCTTCAAAGGCTGTGTCTCAATTCCTAGCTGGGCCATGTGGGCCACATCCTCGCTTGGCCGGGTATCAGCTTCAGTTTATCATATAGTTGTTTTCATAATTTCCAAGTCCTGCTACTAATAATTTGATACTAATGTGCCAAAAGATTAACTATTTATTTTAAGCAATACTAGAAAAACAACAACTTAAGTTGCTCAACATTCCTCATTTTAATGCAGTGATAACTGCATGCTTTTTCATGTAAAGGCTAGAATATTATGACTTTTTTCTCATAACATTATGACTTTAATCTTGTAATGTTATGACTTTATTCTCATAATATTATGACTTCATTTTTATATGACATTAATGTCGTAAATTATGACTTTATTCTCGTAACATTATGACTTTAGTCTTGTAATGTTAGGATTTTATTCTCGTAACATGTAGTTGCATTTTTTATTTAACATCTTATTGCAACGTGAATTTCATCAGCTAAGTTGCTAAACTTACTTTTAAAAGCAAATTCTTTGGTCCTTGGTGAATTTCCAGACTGCGCCGACTCGTAAAAAAAATAAAAACTCCACCATCTTCATTTCTCTCTTTAGTTTGCTGCCCGTGCATTGAATCCTGGGATATCCTCAGCTGGTGAGGATACACAGATGCATTCTTGGATTTTGAGAGTTTGTTGTCTGCATTCCTCAGCTGCATGCTGAGGAGTCTTCAAATTGGGACAGTCCTCCGCGCGGGGCAGTGGCTTATGTGGCCGACAACTGTGCACTCATGAGGACCCAGACCCTGAATTGAGACAGCCAAATTGTCTAAAGTCCTGAAACATTCCAGCACTTTCAGGACCTTGGACAGTTCCTTCAGCCTTTGACACTGTCTAAAGTCCTGAAACATTCCAGCACTTTCAGGACCTTGGACAGTTTCTTCAGTCCTTCACACTGTCTAAAGCAGTGATTCCCAACCAGGGGTACACAAGCATATTACTGGGGGTACGTGGAAAAGTTTCCCAGGTGTGTAAAAAATAAATACAGTTTATTTATTTGATTACTTATTCCCTTTCAAGGCAACATTTTTATCTTAGTGTTTATTTTGAATTGAAAAAATAAAATGCCTGAGAATTAAATGTTCTAGGGTGTTAAATGAATAATTTTCATCTAATAATCAGTTGAAGTACAGTATCGTTTTGGAGAATCATCTTTACATTTGACTGAAGAGCTAGTGGTATGACAAAATTGCTCAGGGAGTACACAAGTCTAAAAAGGTTGGGAATCACTGGTCTACAGTATAAATAGCAGCTATATTTAACTAAAGCAAATAAGAGATAATTGCCAAGATAGCTCAAAACTAAAAGTAGCAAATGCTAACTACAAGCTAAATAAAGCCAAACAGTAGCTAAAAGCTAAAAGTAACCAAAGGTTAGCTGTAAGCAAAATGTAGTCGAGGTAACATAAGCATAATAAAAAGTGAGAGAGAAAATAAAATATTTTGTTTAAGCTGATTTCAAAGAAAACCGTGTTTTTAAAGGTAGAATAAAATCATAACTTACTTATATGGGGAAATGTTTGTTAAAATATAAGAGTTATGAAAAAAACAAGAAAAAGAATTATTATTACATCTCATCTTTTAGAGTTTTAGATCATCATCATTATCTTGAGATGAAAATTTTAATGAATGATTAAAAGCTAGACCTGTAGGAGTATGTGTTGAATGACTCATCTACAGATCAAAGTTTAGATCAACATCTGTCAAACTGACTAATTATTTTTGGGTTGGCTGAAGCCAGTTAACTGTGGCAGACATTTTATATAGGCTAGGTGTACATCAGACGCTATTTTCTGAGAGTTTCATCAAAATTCATTCTGTGGTTTATGAAATATTTTGTGAATACAACATGCACACAGCCCAACACATACAAAAAACATTATCACCCACCTTTGAACAGTGGGTGATAATGACCAAAACTGATTCTTCGACTCTGTATAAATCTCCGACTGCAACGAGGCTCAGTAACAAAACCCCTCATCAGTAAACACAGCTTGTTGCTAGAACCATGAATAAAATTGAAAAACACCCTGGATCCAGAAACTCTGCTGCCCTCTCTGATCCTGACCTCAGTTAAGATGAACTCGCAGGTAAAAAAAAAAAAGAAAAGAACTGTGCTGTGGTCTGATAAATCAGAATTTTAAAATGGTGGTCTTTGTAACTTCTGAGCCAAAGAGGGGATGGAGCATCCGGTGATCTATCAATGCTCAAAAAGCAGCACCTGTGACAGCAACGGGGTGCTCAGAGGATGGGGAAGGTGCCCGTTGTGCAAGGAACCATTAATGCAGAACAATCCACCCAGATGATGTCTTCCTCAGAGAAGACCTTGATTATTTCAGACCACTGTGCCGAGCCACRTTAGATACATGATTTTCAAGAGTATGGCCGTGTAATTTAATAGAGAATGAATGTGGCCTTCCAAAAGTTTGGACCTGTCATTTATTTAAAATAATGGCTAAATTCAAATGAAAAAAAATACAGTGATATGCATCTGAAAAAAAAAGTTACCCAGGACCAAAAGCTGCCTTGTGTCATGTTAACAAAATATTTCATGACTCACTGAATGTTAAGTATTCATCAAGACATTCTAGGTTTTCACTGATGTTCTGTAAATAATAAAACGCCAACTTAATTGTCAGGTTTACATTTTGAAACATTACTGCTTTATTTTGAAGTAGCTCACACATTGATCATGCATCCATCAGCAGCGCTGATATTACAATGAAGTTCTAATAAATCTAATTTTATTTCTTTAGCATGTTTAAAATCAACCACCATTGATCAAAGTGTCAAAAAAATTGGTATTTATAAAAGCAATAAGTATATAGCAAAAAATACCACCTAAAAATAAGATACAATAAATGTGCTAAATACWATCAATAAATATAAAATCAAATGAATAAAATCATTATGTTCTTCTCAGCTTGAACCAAATTTGTTAAATCACCTTTGGGTTTACCCAAGATGCTTTGTGGATCACAGTGCAAATAAATTCAACATAAATTTGTTTAAATAATGGCTTTTAGTTTCAGCAGGTAAAGCGTTGTGGAGCTTTTTATTTATTAAATGTTCAGTGTGGTGAATTATCTCTCGTTTCTTCCTCAGGTTTATGAGCACTGCCATGACAAGAGGAAGTAGGGCCGATCCATTCCAGGCTGAAGTGTTCTTGGATTTGCTGAGTGTTGGATCTAAAGGTGCAGAGAGTGATGTCTGTTTGACAGGCTCAGTGCAAAGAGGCTAAACAGACACTAGAGTGTGCTTTTGTGTTGTGCAACGGCACCGTCTCATCCGGACCATGTGGCTGGCTACGTTCAGCATCCATCTGTTGCCTGCACACCTGCTACACCAGCGAGGGACTGCAACCATCACTCACTGTGCTCTCCTCTGGTGGATGTTATGTTCCTGCTGCTCACTCACTAAAGCAACAAGCCAGAAATTCTACCCAACTGTGACCACCCAGTTCGGGAAACTGCGAGGCCTCAGGGTCCCCGTCCCCAGCGAGGTCCTCAGACCCGTCGATCAGTACCTCGGGGTCCCCTACGCCGCCCCGCCTGTGGGGGAAAAGCGCTTCATGCCCCCCGATCAGCCCTCCCCCTGGTCGGGAGTCAGGAACGCCACCCAGTTCATGCCCGTGTGCCCCCAGAACATCCACAACACGGTGCCAGAGATCATGATGCCCATTTGGTTCACGTATAACCTGGACACGGTGGCCACATACATTCAGGATCAGAGCGAGGACTGTTTGTATCTGAACATCTACTCTCCGACGGAAGATGGTGAGTCGGCGTGGTAAAACGCTCAACTGTGCCTTTACGTGTCTGATGCTGGCTGCTGCTGTTGGCTGAGGCCCTCATTGTTCTGTGATCATCATGAGCTCATGTCATCGCTGCCACCAAAGGCTGATTTATCACCCAAAGCATCATTTTCAGGCATTATCTAGTGAATGGTGATGCAGATAGACTGATACTTTTTTACACAGTCACATAGAGAATTTGAAAGTTTTTCATTCTTTTCAAATTATTTATATCCATTTAAGCCCTGGCATTCCTTTATAATATGCATATCTCTTGCCACCTCCATGACAGACTTTAAATGAAAGAGTTAAAGCCACTTTGGTCAAACTATCAACTGTGTATTAAAATCATTAGATGACAGGTCCTCCACCTTGTTTTGTTGGGAATTGAAACCAGCAGGACCTGGTTTATGGTGTATTTTTGGAACCAGAGTCTGAGCCCTAAGGTGGTGGAGATTTAAGTCCTACCGCCTCCCTCACACACAGTCATGGTTTAACATGAAATAACTAATTCAGGGTGTAAAACTCAGTCACACAAGGTGGCCAAAATTCGAACCTTGATCCAAGCCAAGGGCCAATTTCATTATTCCTATATAAATATTAATTACATTTTTCCAAATTATATTTTATGTAGTGTTTAGAACATGCACAATGTTAAATAAATACATTTGGAAAGACATATCCTTAATAATTTGTCATACTACAAACTTACTGATTTATTGTTTACTAGACATACATTTTATCACAATCCAACAAATAAGTGAAAAACACTAAAAGTCTAATTATTTGACTTTAAAATAGGAAAAGAATACAAAAAAATCATTAAAGTCAAATATCGATTGCATTTTCCACACCAAAATCAAAGATTGAGGAAAAACTAACTTTTTTTTTCTTGAATGTTGGCCAGCTGTCATGAGATGAAGGCACTTTGCACAGTGACAAAAAMAGAAGCTATAAATCAATTTTTTATTTAACGTATTACCTTTTGGGCTGGATAAAATGTTAACAAGGTCCAGATTTGGCCCACGGGCCTTGAGTTTGACATGGGCACTAGTTACAAACAAAACGAGTATTAGAACCCACAGCTGCAAGGTTAAACGTRTGAATTACCAAGAGTTAAAACCTTTAAAAATTCATGTAAGGCGTGTTTGTATTACTGGTAAAGTGCTGTATGTTTAAGTGGAGGGGGCAGGGCTTAAATCTTGTGCTGGGATCAGATTATGGGGATGTAGTTCCCATTCTGGCTTCAACCTCTGGATTACTGTAGGATGTCTAGATTTTATAGATGGGTCAAACCAAGAAAATAACTGTTTTCTATTACCACAACTAATTTCAACTCAGTTTCTGTACATTTGACTGATTTTTAAGTAATTTTTGTAGCAATCGTTTCATTAAAATCTGTTTATTTAACGTGACAGACAGATGTAGATCGTTTGCTGTACAATAAACCTTAGCTGTCAGAATGTCTATCTAAACTAAGCAGTCRTTTTCAGTTTGTTAAACGATAAAAATAACAGCCTGTTTCACTGCCACAGCATCACACGCAACTGTGAGCTTTCTTTAGAAGAAAGATAAAAATGTCAAATTTCCATATTTTGCAAAAATTTTCGGTCCATATTAGTGAATCACAGCTCTGCTCAGACAGCGTGTCTGTCGGGGGCCAATTAAAAAGGAGCAGGAGTCAATTGTCTATCGCACACTGAATCCTTTTCTATTTCTGAACCGCGAAATGAAGCAGCGAGGGAACATTTTGTGTGTCTGCTGTGAATCTGTAGATTACCTGAACAATGTAATAGCGTGCTAATAGTGTATGTTTTTTTTAAATAGTGACTATTAACAGGTTTCTCAGACTCCTGCTGCTTCAAGACACTAATTAAATGTTGCTCCTGAGAGCCTACGGCCTCCCTCACTATAATGCTTTCAGCATTCAGAGCTGAACCRTGTTCTGCTTGTGTATGCGACACACCGCTCTTTCAGACTGTTGTTTTTTTGTTTGTTTTTTTCTTCTTCTCCTATGGTAACTTAGCAACAACAGATAAACAGCCTGCATGAAAGGTAGATGTCCAAAATGGTGCAGCCCACATTTTCTAAAGCTCAGAGTGCTCCCTGCAGGCCTGCTCACCTGAACGTGTCAATTCAATTTTATCTTTGTAAGTTGGGAATGTGCCTTTTTTTAGACATTTTTTGAAAACGTTGTTCAATTTGGGCCTTTTTGCGAGTTAATTTTTAGTTTATTGATATTCAGGTAGTTTTATTTCAAACATTCCTGAAAGGACTGCACATCGTCCCTCATTTTTTACGACAGTTTTAAACTAAGATCGTCTTATGGTGAGACACGATGGCTTCAAAGTGCCTGTGACRTCAATTATTTTGTWATAAATATGMATGCATTTTTAGAAAAATAAYRTTAATAATACATTGCAACAAAAGCYCCACGCCGCTGAGATGAACAGTTGTTGAGATATTTGCATGTGAAGTAACAGGAAGTGACATCAAAGGGGAATGTCTGAATGTAAACAAAGCAGTACAGTTKCTAACAACACAGACTGTAGAGAAGAATCTGATATTTCGAAAGATTATTTTGAGTCACAGAGAAATKAATCAGAGTTCAAATATTGTTTTCAATGAACACCAGGGAGTTGCCTTTTTTTAAAGAATTCCCTTTTGATGTCACTTCCTGTTTCACTGTGACGGAGCAAGTTCAGGAAAAATGCCAATTATGTGACAAAATGGGTGAAATTGTGGTATTATTTCAAGTTTCTTAAATATAAAGTTGTTTCCTTTGACTTTTTGTAGTTGAAGGAGGCACTTTAAAGCTATTTTGGTCAAACCTTGTAAATGATATTTGCTGTCTCATGTAAGATAGGAAAMGTGTTAGTGATTGGAGTTTGGAAAGACTCTCATCTACTACCATGCCCATGTTTAGTTCCATATCTGTGAATTTGACTGTTATATCTCTTTTTTTGTTGGCTCAGGTCTCTTAGCTCAGCTGTAGACGTCCATCCAGAGATTACTTTCTGAGAGGTTTAATGAAATCTTTTCTCTGGTTCATGGGATACTTTACTAATGTATCTATTAAACAGTGTACACACACACACATTAAATAAAGAGCAAAAACTYTTTCCATCAAACATTTTGGATTATCATATTTCAAATTGTCTTATAATTTTTAAAATAATCTTGATCTTTTTTTTCTTCTTGATTTTGTCATTTTGATCAGATTAAGGACAGGTCCCGGTCCAATCCATCATGCTCTTTTGAATTTTGTACTTCTTTTTTTGTCTATCTGAATCCCAGGGGGCCAAAACAAGAAAAAGGGGGCGCCTTTCTCACATGCTGAGACTCATATATCTGAAGGTATTTTTTAATGCATGGATTATTTTTGTTTCATGAAAATATTTCAATACTTTTTGATTTTCTAAAGAAATGTGGGTCTTTTTTTTTCTTTAAGTGGAATTATAAGAAACGATGAATTAAAGTTTCTGTTCCTCTATTTTACATATTGAACAGAGCACTGCTGAATCCTTTTCAGTAAAGGCAACACTTCTGTTGTGCACATTGATCCAGAGATTGCAATATCTATTTATCTGTCCTTATAAAAGAAGAAGAAGAAAAGCATTCATAAATACACCAAACAAGACATAAAGATTTTTRCTCATTTTCTTATGGCTCAAATATCAGATGCAAAGGAGTTTACTGTAATGTGATCCATCTCAGTTCAAATACACCGTAAACAAGTCTATGTAGATGTGTATTATACACTGAACTTTACGTTTACCTCTCAAAAATCTAATTTAGAGGGATAAATATGAGCAATTAATGTCTTACCTGTTGTAGATAACTCTTTGAATGATCTCAGTTTAGAGAAAAGTATAGTTTTGACTAGATTGATGAGCTAATGGCTAGTCCTAATGATGCCAAAAGCAAAGTAGACTGTTATCATGCTAAACCAACTCCAATGAAAAACAYAAAAACTTTCAGTAGAAATATGATGACATTCATACAGGAAGCTGCTGGTGTTGGTTGCACAAACAACAGAATTCTAACAAAATAGTAGCCACTAAATCAGAGATACTCAAATAAACTGCTCATTGGTCACAGTTACTCAAAACCAACTAATCAGATGCCGGACATCAGGGGGTCACTTAAAGGGAAACAATACATTATGTACAAGGGCAAGTATTATTTTTTACTTCATTAATTTGTTTTGTTGCATTTAATTTACAATTCATATAAAGGGGACAAATCCTGCAAAATCCACTTTTTTTAGTCGTTAAATACATTTTGTTGTTTACTTCTAGGAGTGCAGAAAATTTGAGTTCAGTCTCTGTGCTGCAAAGATATCTTTATATTCTTTTTGGATCATATTTTTCAACTCGTCTCTATTTTCTGTGACATTTTCTGAACTATGATGTCACAGAATTTGTAACAGAACTGCCAAATAAGGTCTGGACCTACTAATTATAATTTGGCCGTCTTCTTTCTCCTCTGGCTCCAATGTGTAAATCTTCCCTTGTTGACATGTTTTACTTCCTTTGTGAATAAAAAGTTTCTGCATCGCTATGGAGTCGTAAATCCCTCTGTCAAACTGGAGTGAACTGGTCTGGAAGCTGGAGGGGGGCGGGGTGTGATGCGCCTCTTGGATTTAAAGAGACAGCCTTGAAAYGAGTTGATCTGAGATGCACCTCAGAAAAGAGGGGCTTGTGGAGTTACAGTAAGGAGGAATTAAGCATTGCAGTTCCACTTTACTGTATATAGACCTCAACTGAATGACTTAAATGTGAAAAAGAAGAGTTTAAAAGCAGGATGTCTCCTTTAAATTTTGTTTTTATATTAAATCAAGTAAAATCNAAAGGTTGCACTTGTTTATTTATATATTTATTTGTTTATTTATTTGGGGGGGGTCATCATTGGCGGGCCACCTAATCACCTGTCAAATGAATATCCCTGCATTACMCATTGTTCCAGTCAGAATTAAACTTTAGTTTCTGTTTCTGCCACTGAGGTCCTTCAWAGAGCTTTCTACAGCAGGTGAGATATTAATCATTCATRACCTTTCCRTAGACCCTCACTTCAAMAGATCTGATCTGTTGATTGAAACTCTTATTTTTTAATTCCTAAGACCTTTAGATTTATTGCAGATAAACAAGAAGGCTTGGTCTGACATGTCTATGCACCATAAAACTGTTGATTATATTCATAACTCTTGTCAAAGTGTGTTTACCATGCATTCTGGATTGCCATTACAGCTTTTAAACCACAGGCTCTCCACCCTGGCTTGCTTCCAAGCACATTTTCTAAGCGGCCTATCTCTCATACTTCATCTTGAGCAGTTGTGTTAGAAAGTTTAAGTAACGGTTCTGTATCAATCCTTCACGTCATTACTGTTGTTCCTGCTCAGAGTGTGTGTTTACATATATATAAATGTGTGTCACGTTGCAGATATAAGAGACTCTGAAGCCCGACCAGTGATGGTTTACATCCATGGAGGCTCCTACATGGAGGGCACCGGGAACATGATGGATGGCAGCATTCTGGCCAGCTACGGAAACGTTGTTGTCGTCACACTCAACTACAGAATTGGGATATTAGGTCTGTGTCGTGACTTTTTTTTTTCAAAGGGAACATTTAATTTAGCCTTGATTACTCTAAGAGAGAGAGAGAAAACAGTCAAAGTGAGCACTGAGTTTCACTTCTATTACTGTAGGAAAAAGAAGTTGAGATAAAATGTCTGAACACATTCTGGCTAACTTAGATCTTGGTAGCATGACACTTTCTGTTAACATCTTCAGAGGAATGCGGCTATGCAAATTCTTATCAAGCCTTGTCCTTGTTGCACAAACTCATTGTTCCACCCAATTTATCTTCCTCTAGATGGATTTATCTAATCTGTGCAAGATTATCATCCTTTGCTATTCATGAAAGCAAAATGATTTAACTACAGCCCAGAAGGCTGCAGCATCCACAAGGTCATTGTTTGTTGTTTACACTGTTTAACATTCAAAGATCTCTAGATGAGACCSGTCAGAGGAATAAGTAATGAGATAAATGTGCATGAGCACCTGTGACCTCTGTGTGGTTTCATGAAAAGGGTTTGAGGAAATTTATTTCCACATGTTAAATGTTATAAAGTCACTGAAGCATTGAGGAGTTGAGCCAAATCACTTCCTGTTAGGGGATGACAGCAAAGAGTTGTCTAAAACCTGAGAAGGGACTGATGTCATTTTATTTACACCAGGCTTCCTTAGCACCGGCGACCAGGCAGCAAAAGGAAACTACGGACTCCTGGATCAGATTCAGGCTCTYCGCTGGATAAGTAAAAACATCGGTTACTTTGGAGGAGACCCCGGGCGCATCACGGTGTTTGGATCTGGGATCGGCGCTTCATGTGTCAGTCTGCTAACACTGTCCCACCACTCAGAGGGTAAGAACACACAAGCTGTTTAAGAGTCATCTCTATCAGTCCATTTCCTTTCAGTTTTTAAAAATACAACATGGTGCCTGAACCCTGACAAAAAAGAACAAAAAAAAGGAATAGAAAAATCAAACCTCCAAAACCCAATTCAACTGTTTTATCAATTCACCTTTTTGTTTGTATTTTTATTATTGCTGGGTATTATAAAAAAAAAAAAACTTCTAAATCATCTAAAGCAGGGGTGTTGAACTCTTTTTCACCGAGGGCCACATAATGTAATTATCTTTGACGTTTCTTGTTTAACTTCGACTAAAAACACAAAATGTCACCTTTCTAATCTCATCGCTACCGCTGAGCACCGCTAACAAACAATAACTGAGCTCTACGTGGTTTTTCCTGCATAGAAACAGCATTTTAACACTTCCTCTCATAAAAACTGAAAAGTACTACATGTAGGACTGGTTAAATGTGAAATAAATAATAGAAATACTATAAAAAGTAAAAGTAAGAGAGTTTTACTCACTGCTGTCGTTGCTGCCTCTTCCACTGGAGGGGCGTTCCAGTTTAAATTTACGACTTGTAAATGGGAAATTTCCACTTCGCAGTACAACTGAAGCAAAAGTAAAAATGCAGCAAAATGGAAAATTTTCTTTTAAACCCTGTGCCCCTCCACCTAGTGATGGGATGTCATCATYTYKCAGGTAAAATAATCAACATGCATTATGGGAGATGTAGTTTYTGATCAATACTGACTTTAAAGCAACTTACACTTGTTTTTAAACACTATTACCTTTTTGAAGCTCTCACTGGCCGCAAAAAATGCTGTGGTGAGCTACATTTGGTCCGCAGGACTTAGCTTTTGACACGTGTGATCTAAAGCTTAGAAAAATTGCTTATGTTATTATTATTGTTCTCCAATAAAACACATAGTTCAGCCTAAAAAAACTAGAAATTATAACAAGTTATCAGCATGTTGGGTACAGCTGTAGGGGAGAGTTACAATAAAAACATCTTGATTGTTGAAAACATATTCTGAGGCATATTTAGACAACCATATGGCCGTTGTAGGTTTTTGGCAGAAATATGTTAAATATGTTGATTGATTCAAGTGTGGCGCCACATGGTCCGGCAGGGAGATGAAGCGTTATGATCTTGGGGTGGTGGGAGGGAAACAGGGGGTGTTTGTTAAGTAAGTGATTGCTTTTGTTCCTCTCCTACTCAATCTAATCAGTTTAAAAGCTCTGCCCCTTAAAATGTGTCGCTCTTAAAGAATCCCATTGGCATTATAAAGTTCTCAGCACGTCATCAGACGCACATGTTAGTGTGTTTTTCCAGCTGATTTACATCACAGTCCATTTGTTTCCTGATAACTACTTATTGACGGAGTTAGTAGGGTTAACAGAAATCTCAGTGCTTTTGATGAGTTGCAAGACAATTTTTAACTGACAAAGTCCTCATCTTTTAGATACGTTTGGAAAAAAATGGCTCTCTTTGTTTCTAAACAATTTCCCTATCTTGTAATTAAAAAGGACAAATTCTTGTCTAAATTCAGCTGTTTTTCTGCTAATATCAGGTGAAATACCTGTACAGACATAATCTGCAGACATCTGATGTTTGAAACTCCTTGAATACACATTATGTCTTTTTATAAACATCCCCTCGAAGACTCAAAGGTGTGTGTGTCTACGTGGGTGGCCCCTTCTTGAATGGGCCCTCTTATCTTTTCTCTGATATTCTTGTCGTTCTCTTATTGATGCTGAACAGAACCCAGAGAAAGGCAGGAAATATTGTAGTTTTCATCAGACCGGGGGAGACTGAGGCAGCTGTCCTTTTGAGATTTGTATTCGGTGTCCTCGCGCACTACAGCAAGTGCACAAAGACCTCCAGCTCTCTTTGAAGTGGGCTTGCTCTCTACTGACATAAAATTAGAATGATAGAACAGGGCAGCTCGATGGAGCGGTGGTTAGAGCTGTAGCCTCTCAGGAAGAAGGTTGCAAGTTTGCCTCCTGGCCTCCTCATGGGTTTTCTTTGGGTGTAGCTTTTTCCTACTGTCTAAACACATGCATGTTAGGTTAATTAGTAACTCTAAAGCAGGGTTGTTAAACTCATTTTCACGGAAGACCACATTATGGTCTTGAAAGGGCCAGTTGTAAATACTGTAACTTTGACATTTTGTGTTAAACAGTAAATATCACATTCTTCTTCTCATTACTACAGCTGAGCACCGCTAACAAACAATAACTGAGCTCTACATGGTATTTCYTGCATAGCAACAGTGCTTTTACACTTCCTCCTAAACACTGAAACGTGGTATGGTACAAGTGACTAAATGTGAAATAAATAAAACAGAAATACTATTAAAAGTAAAAGAGTTTTACTCACTGTTGCGTTGTGGTGAGTAGCCGCCATCTTGAATTCTGAATTCTCCTACTTTCTAAAAGGGAATTCCCACTGGAGGGGTGTTCCAGTTTAAATTTATGACTTGTGAGTGGGAAATTCCCACTTCCCAGTGCAACTGGGCTGCAGCAGAAGTAGCTGGTAAAAATCCAGCTAAATGGAGATTTTACACAGAAAATTACGCCAGCTACTTTTTAACCCTGTGCACCTCCACCTAGTGGTGGGATGCCATCATTTTGCAGGTAAAATAATCAGCATGCATTCTGGGATATGTAGTTTGTAGTCAATGCTGGCTTTGAAGCAGCTTATTTTGAGACATTAACAGTTTATTAACTAAATAGGTCTTGGGTCACAGTTACTCAAAGCCAACAGCTCAGGGGCCAGACAAGTACTATTGTATTTCACTTTTTAAGTTTGTTTATTTTGTTGCATTGAATCACAAAATTAAAGTGCACAATTGATTTAAAATCTATTTTTATATTAAATTTAACATAAAACAAAAATTCTGTCTTGCTTCGTTGTCAGRCTGAAGTCACCTGAGGGCCACATTTGGCCCGTCGGCTTTTATTTTGACATATGTTCTAAGCTGTCCCTRGCTGAGAGTGTGAATGGTTGTTAATCTCTGTGTGGCCCTGTGTGGGACTTGCAACCTGTCTGGGGTGTACCCCGCYTCTTACACAATCACTGCTGGAGATAGACACCAGCTACCTGTGACTCAGGAAGTAAAGACTGGTAAAAAAAAAGAAAAAAAGGGATGGATGAAAGAAAAACAGCAAAAAAAGACAACAATGCCACTGTCACTACTCTCTGAGTTGCYAGAGTGTTAGATTCAACTTTAAAACGGCTTTTTACTTCCTTTTCGAGTAAACGCTTACGATTTTAGTGTCATTTTCCCAAGCACTAATCCCTGGAGACAGAAGATGATGCACTGCATGTAAACAATTCAAGACGAGCAGCTTGTTTACTGTATCAACACTGAGGGATCAGGGTTACTGCATATTCAGCTCCCTGCACACACTCTGCACCGTACAGTTGGTGTCAGCAGTCTGTGTAAGCCGCAYCGCTTGTTAGACACACCACATTAACGATTCAACAATTACAGTATGTTTGTGTGGAGGAAAAAACCCCGACACCTCCTCACTAACACCGCGCTGCAAATTGACCATTAGTTTGACAGGCCCTCGTGTAATCTGCATAGAGAGGAAACTACATAAAATGACGAAAAATAATCAGCTGAGATTTTTTAATTTTCTCCACAAAATGAGAAAAWATCGATTTCTTCTACCCTCTTGTGTACCGAGCCGCCTCTGATCTGTYCTGAGATCATCAGTCTTTGTTTTGCTGTCTTTCTGACCAAATGTGGGTTTTTTTCCTTTAAATTGATAAAATATATGGCAGCAAACCTTATCTTTGTGTTTGAATGACAGTTAGTGCGACCGGAATAACAAATTTATTTAAAAATTCTCAGATTTGCATTCAGAATCCTCTAATTAGCAATGATTTGTGTTTTTTTTGTGTGTGTGTGTTCTGTTTGTCTCAAGGCCTGTTCCACAGAGCCATCATCCAAAGTGGTTCAGCGCTGTCCAGCTGGGCCGTCAACTATCAGCCAGTCAAGTACACTCGCATGCTTGCTGAGAGGGTTGGCTGCAACGTGCTGGACACGGTGGACATGGTGTCCTGCCTGCAGAAGAAGAGCGCTAAGGAGCTCGTGGAACAGGACATCCAGGCCGCCCGCTACCGCGTGGCTTTCGGCCCCGTCATCGACGGAGACGTCATCCCAGATGACCCCGAGATCCTGATGGAGCAGGGCGAGTTCCTCAACTACGACATCATGCTAGGGGTGAATCAGGGCGAGGGGTTGCGCTTCGTGGAGAATCTGATGGACCTGGAGGACGGCGTGTCCGGCAACGACTTTGACTTCGCCGTGTCGGATTTTGTGGACAGTTTGTATGGCTACCCGGACGGGAAGGACACCCTCAGAGAGACGATTAAATTCATGTACACGGACTGGGCTGACAAGGATAACCCGGAGACCAGGAGGAAGACCCTGGTTGCGCTCTTCACTGACCACCAGTGGGTGGAGCCATCGGTGGTAACAGCTGACCTGCACGCCCGCTATGGCTCACCCACGTACTTCTACGCCTTCTATCACCACTGCCAGAGCCTTATGAAGCCCGTGTGGTCGGACTCGGCACATGGCGATGAGGTGCCCTACGTATTTGGCATCCCCATGGTGGGCCCGACCGATCTGTTCCCCTGTAACTTTTCCAGGAATGACATCATGCTCAGTGCCGTGGTCATGACATATTGGACCAACTTTGCAAAGAGTGGGTGAGTAACAACATTTTCTGTGGCTTTTTCTGAGCCCCAAAACTGCACCACCCTGGCGTTTTTGTGTAGACAGACAAAACGCTACTTCTTGAAAACATTGATATAATAACCCCGCCTCTAACCTAACGTATGGCATGAGGGTGTTTCGTTTTTACATTTGCAGCTTTAGCACCATCTATGCATACAAACATTGATAAATTACCAACTACCAACAACAGTTTGACGGTATTACATCAAAAATGATTCCTTATTAAAGGGGCAATATCATGCAAAATAAACTTTTTTGAGTTTTATATCATGTTATAATGTTATACTCTCATAAAAAACACGTCCAAAGCCTTGCTTTGACTCATTCATGCATGTTTGAGAAATCCTGCAGCGTTTTTAGGCAGCCATGCTGAGGAGCAAAACAACAGGTGGGGAGCAGAAACGCCTTTTGGTACCAGAAACACCCCTGGGACGTGTCTTTAAGCTGAACTTCCTCATGGCAGAGTGCCCCCCCTTCCCTCCCTCCTCCTTCCACCCGCTCCGCGACTCCGGCAGGCTATCTGCTGAAATGGGCGTGACCGAAGTGGTTGGATTTTCTTAAAGAGACAGAGACCTATTTCAAGGCGTTTAGAAAATGTCAAGATGAGAAGTAAATTGTTTTGGGGATTTTTACAAATATATAGCTCTTTCATAAGCTAAAAATGTGACATAGTTACTTTATTTTAGTATAAAATTGAAATATAGGCTTTGAAAGCACATAATGTCGCCCCTTTAAGTCTGCCATTTATCTCAGCCTTATCTCGTTATTTTGTTAATTAATTAAAACTCCCCTGAGAAAAAAAACAGGCTTCAATTTTTATTGATTAAAAGGAATTCCCTAAAGTCTAAAACAATATCCTGAAAGGTAATTCTGCAACCTTTGCTGTTATCGATTTTTTTATAATCTGAATCTTTCTTCTGAGGAAGGGCCTATATTTGTATTTCYTTTCAAACATGATATCAAATGCTGAATATCAAACTCTGGTTAGCTCATGTAGAGACATAACTCTGTGTACACCAGCTAATAGGAACCATGTCATTTTAAATGTCAAACTGGAGCAAACTTACTTTTTTTTCCTTCCAGCAAATTTCTCAGTGTTCAACAGTGTTATGTAGACTAAATGATCCATAAAGACAGTTTATAAGCCCCCACAAAAAAAAAAAAACTTTTATTGATGGTTGTAGGACAAGTTGACAGTTTGACGAATTCTGCTGTCTCCTCGTGATGCTCGCTGTTTGATGGTGGAGAGCTCCGTCTAACGTGTTAATCCAAAATCCCCCACAGCTCCTCAGCTGAGAGTTGAAGGCTATAACATAAAATTTACATCATTTCTACATTCATTAACCRGTTCAATGACCCCTTCATGTCATGCAAATGATAGCTTTGTAATCTCGGAGAAGGCCACTCCAATCAGGACTAAAAGGTTTTATCACGGAAGATAAAAGTGATCACTCTGAGCGTTCTGCATTGATGCTTTTTTAATGTGAGTCTTCCTCCTGAAGAAACAAATGGATCTAAGTCTTGGCAGCAAAATATCCCTCTATAACCCGGCAGAGCCACCAGATCCTCACATAAGATGTTTTTGTTTTGCTTTATGTGGTTCTCTGAGTGGATGTCATATTGACACTTCGCTTTTATAAAACATAATAAAATAATAGAAAAAGACTTTTATTCACCAATGGATTGAGCTGCTTTTGCAGCTGCAATTCATCTGTTTAATTCATAAAGCCCCTGCAAAGGGAGATGGGTGCTTCAAAATGTGCTACCTGTGCTGCATTTTTGCAGACTTCTCTCATTTAAATGGGGTTTTAAAGTTTTTATATTTCTGTAATGTACTACCGGAGAAAAAGGTGCCATGTTCTTAAAGACCAGTACTGTTTGCTGCACAGATTTARCTTCATATATTTACTGTCTCCCGGGAGGTAGTGGTATTTGCATCTCAGGAAAAATGACAAGGAAAAACAACAACCTGTTGCAATGTCCCCTTCATTTTTTTCAGTGATGAATGTCAGAGGCTGCTGTTCTACCATCAAAATATAAAAAAATTGTAAATATAGGACATTTTAGCAGCCAGACATTAACAAACAGAACCAAAGATACAGTAGTTTCTTACAATAGTATTTCTGGAGACAAATAATACACAAAATCCATATTTTAAACCTAAATCATGGATTTCAAAATTACATTTTTCTGTATACTTGTAACATTTTTTTATTTAAACAAGTTTATTACATTTAATACATAATAGTTTGTTATTAAAGACAAGCTGTGGTCTAAATTTTCTCATTAAAATGATCGTCTTGTGGGTACTAGAGCAGTGATACGCTGCAGCTCTCCATCTGAGGCAAAGATCTGCTGGTTCCTTTTTTCTGAATTTAAGAGACACCTGAGTGAGTTTTACTGTTGTGGAGGACTCCACTGCTGTTTTGCGGGAAGTACTTTACAGCAGCAATAAATCTTTATGTGGTATGACCCCAGCAGTTAGCCAAACACAGCACAGGTCACCGTGGGCTGGTAATGTTGCTGTGTAGGAATAAATGGAAGTCGAGCCCTCTGTGAGAAATGGAGATATGACACTGGGTTAGCCTTTTTYGTTTTCTTTACTTGGGAAAAATATAACGTGGAGCTTTCATTTACTGACGTTTTAAAGAAAAGTTTTAAAATGTACATATTATTATGATATTATTATATTATGATGTGTGTATTAAATTGTAATTTAGATTCCTGTGGATTTTTCTATTTGAAGTTCATAAAATATTGATAGAACTTTAAATCACAGAATTGTCATTCAATAATTTACAATATTTTCTACTGTAAATGTAAAACATGTAAATGTAAAACATCTTTTTGTAAGCTTTTCTGGTTCATCGTTTTGCACAACAGACAACTGCTACAAGTAAAACTACATAATTAAAATTTGATTTTGTTAAAGGCATAGTGTTAAGCTTTATCGCGTGAACAAATAATATYTTACCTGTTGGAGATAGCTCTTTGAACTTCCTCACGTTGAAGAAATTGAGTTTGATTCTGACTGGATTGACGAGCTAAAGGCTAGTCTGAGCAGCTTATAATGCTTATTTACATGAAGTGATATGAAATGTTTGAAAACTAAGTAATTTTATTTTTCCACTTTCATCTTGGCCCCACTCAGACTAGCCGTTAGCTCGTCAGTTTGGTCAAAATTTAGACTGAGGTTGGTCAGAAAGATAAGATTATATTTGTTCACAGCCTTAAAAAGCTTCAAAATAATTGAAACTATTCTTTTAAAGTCGACTAGTCATAAAGTGAAGGATATCTGAAGTTATCAGCTATCAGGCTCTTGAAGAGTTTGTCTTTTCTGACCCAAGTCTTCTTTGATGTGTTCTCAAAGGGATCCGAACAAGCCAGTGCCACAGGACACCAAGTTCATCCACACTAAGGCCAACCGCTTTGAGGAGGTGGCCTGGTCCAAGTATGACCCCTACGACCAGTTTTACCTGCACATTGGCCTGAAGCCTCGTGTCCGGGACCACTACCGCGCCACCAAAGTGGCCTTCTGGAAACACCTGGTGCCCCACCTCTACAACCTTCAGGGAATATTCTACTACTCCTCCACCACCACCAAAGTCACTCCTCTGGATCCCACCCAGTCCAACGGGAAGAGGTCCGGCGGCACCGGACGCCCTCCCGTCTCCACGTCTCACAGCGGGGGTGAAGGTGGGAGAGAAATGGGTCCCCTGATCATGCCGAACCCCAGAGATTACTCCACCGAGCTCAGCGTCACCATCGCCGTCGGGGCGTCGCTGCTCTTCCTCAACGTCCTGGCCTTCGCAGCCCTGTACTACCGCAAGGACAAGCGCAGCCGCCAGGAAACGTCCCAGCAGCCGAGCCCCCAGCGCGAGAGCAAAGGCAACAACGCCAGCCACACCAACACCGTCGACGAGACCCTGTCGTCCCAGCAAAGGAGCCCGTGCGAGGCCCTCCACAACCCTCTCCACGCCTCCCCCAGCTACTCTCTGAGTCAGCGTCGCTCCCCCGACGACATCCCGCTGATGACCCCCAACAACATCACCATGATCCCCAACTCCCTCATGGGCCTGTCCAACATGAGCCCGTACAGCACCTTCCCTGCCGGCTACAGCTCCGCAGGCCTGCCCAGCACCCACTCCACCACCCGAGTATAGCCTGGCAGGAGGCGGAGACCAGAACYGAACACAAACATTAACGTATAGAGCTGTATTTAGGATGTGTACGTAAAATAGAAGCCAATGTTTGTTCTGTCATTTCCAAGAGGTGTGCGACCACCAACATCCTGCCTTCTCTCTCTCTCTCTCTCTCTCTCTCTCTCTCTCTCT